TCCCAGAAAATTATAGTTTCCCTTCATTGACACTTTTTATATTCATGTGAACGTTGAAATAAATTAATTACTTAGGGGTAAATATCAAAAGTATATTTGTATGCTATTAAATAGAGAAATTTGTAACAATTATTATCTATTAATTTTATAAAAGATATTTCTATGAATTTTATTCATCTATGAAAGAAGACACGCCTCATCGCCATTTTAAGAGTAATAGTTTTACAATTTTACTTACTCTTTTGTAAGTATTTTTATTCTATTTCATTATTTATTTACTTCATACAATAGTTAATTCGTTATTTCTGTATTTCTACAGATTTAAGATAAATGAGTGAGAAGATTGAAGTTTATTTTGATGCTACTGAAAAAGCAAGTCGTCTCCTATGATATTTTATCTGTTAAGTTATCATCTCGGAGACTTCTAATTAATTAAGGTGAGTATACATACTATATTATATATGTACTGTATTTATTTGATAGCAGAAAAAGGGGTTGAACATAACTTTAACTAAGGAAGCTAAACAAATTGTTTCTGAATACTTTTTCGTTGATTTCATTTTATAGGAACATTAGAAACTCCAGATGACATAATTAATATTAATTGCTCTTTATTGTATCAGTCCTCATTTGCTCCATAAAGTAGATGTGTACTTATAGTCTTAAGGAAAGCATGGAACTGCCTTTTTTCCATTGCAAATGAAGACAGTGTGCTATTACTATAGGAATGATTTATGACAGTGAACTTGTAACTATCAATTAAAAATAGTAAATGAGATTCCAGAACCCTCTATCTCGTAGACATTTGTAACTTGCTTTAATAGACAACTTTTAAGCAATGTGTTTCAGAAAATGATAATTACTTTTTCTTGCCCATTTCAATAGATTGTCTAACAAACAAATGAGAAGGAAAATTGCAGTTAATTTTGATGTTACTGAAACCACTAATATTTTTGACGTCTTCACCTTGCAACATTATGCAGTTAATTTTGACCCTGAGAATGGGAGACAATTGGAAATTACTTTGGAAACCACTGAAACAACAAATTTCCTGCTGTGACATCTCTCCTATATTTGGTTTGCTCATTATACTGGTAGATTTTAGAATGCTACTTTCTACAGTTAATTAAGGTGAGAATCATTACATATTTAATATTAATTGCTTTTTATTAATTTGTAATGGTATTTTTAACAGTTATCTATTATCTACGGTATAAATTGACATTTTGGCGTATGTAGTATTTCTTTTAAATATCTATTGTTTAAGTTGACATCCGTCTATGATTACTTCACATTTATCTGTCATGCATAATTGACGCATGTCGCCATTTTATTATTCAGCTGCTTTACTTGGTTTTTGGTACTTGTTTTTAGGTGTGTTTAGTCTCATCCTTAATTAATAGTGCAGTTAATATGTTTTTTGTCAATTTCTACAGATCGTCCAACAAATGAGACAGAGTTTACGTTCGATTTGGTCGTACTGGAACAACCAAATCTACATGGGTGTGGTCTTTTGTAAAGCATATTCTTAATTTGCTGTTTTCGCTTTCACCTTGCAACATTATGCAGTTAATTTTCAACCGACGAGTAAGAGCAACTGGAGGTTTATTTGAATTCCACTGAAATAACGAATTTACTGCAGTGGTATTCCTCTTGGATTTGGTTTACTTTTCACACCTGCAAACTTTGGAATGTTACAGTCTACAGTTAACTAAGGTGAGAATACTTGATATAATTAATTTTAATTGCTCTTTATTAATCTGTTACCATTGTATCTGTTTCAGATTGACGTTGGAGAAGACAAAGATGGCCCCGTAGTTGATTTTCTTAATTTGCTGTTTTCGCTTTCACCTTGCAACATTATGGAGTTAATTTTCAACGGACGAGTAAGAGCAACTGGAGGTTTATTTGAATTCCACCGAAATAACGAATTTTCTGCAGTGGTATTCCTCTTGGATTTGGTTTACTTTTCATACCTGCAACCTTTGGAATGTTACAGTCTACAGTTAACTAAGGTGAGAATACTTGATATAATTAATTTTAATTGCTCTTTATTAATCTGTTACCATTGTATCTGTTTCAGATTGACGTTGGAGAAGACAAAGATGGCCCCGTAGTTGATTTTCTTAATTTGCTGTTTTCGCTTTCACCTTGCAACATTATGGAGTTAATTTTCAACGGACGAGTAAGAGCAACTGGAGGTTTATTTGAATTCCACCGAAATAACGAATTTTCTGCAGTGGTATTCCTCTTGGATTTGGTTTACTTTTCACACCTGCAAACTTTGGAATGTTACAGTCTACAGTTAACTAAGGTGAGAATACTTGATATAATTAATTTTAATTGCTCTTTATTAATCTGTTACCATTGTATCTGTTTCAGATTGACGTTGGAGAAGACAAAGATGGCCCCGTAGTTGATTTTCTTAATTTGCTGTTTTCGCTTTCACCTTGCAACATTATGGAGTTAATTTTCAACGGACGAGTAAGAGCAACTGGAGGTTTATTTGAATTCCACCGAAATAACGAATTTTCTGCAGTGGTATTCCTCTTGGATTTGGTTTACTTTTCACACCTGCAAACTTTGGAATGTTACAGTCTACAGTTAACTAAGGTGAGAATACTTGATATAATTAATTTTAATTGCTCTTTATTAATCTGTTACCATTGTATCTGTTTCAGATTGACGTTGGAGAAGACAAAGATGGCCCCGTAGTTGATTTTCTTAATTTGCTGTTTTCGCTTTCACCTTGCAACATTATGGAGTTAATTTTCAACGGACGAGTAAGAGCAACTGGAGGTTTATTTGAATTCCACCGAAATAACGAATTTTCTGCAGTGGTATTCCTCTTGGATTTGGTTTACTTTTCACACCTGCAAACTTTGGAATGTTACAGTCTACAGTTAACTAAGGTGAGAATACTTGATATAATTAATTTTAATTGCTCTTTATTAATCTGTTACCATTGTATCTGTTTCAGATTGACGTTGGAGAAGACAAAGATGGCCCCGTAGTTGATTTTCTTAATTTGCTGTTTTCGCTTTCACCTTGCAACATTATGGAGTTAATTTTCAACGGACGAGTAAGAGCAACTGGAGGTTTATTTGAATTCCACCGAAATAACGAATTTTCTGCAGTGGTATTCCTCTTGGATTTGGTTTACTTTTCACACCTGCAAACTTTGGAATGTTACAGTCTACAGTTAACTAAGGTGAGAATACTTGATATAATTAATTTTAATTGCTCTTTATTAATCTGTTACCATTGTATCTGTTTCAGATTGACGTTGGAGAAGACAAANGAAATAAATATCGTTTGTTGTAGTAAATGTAATTTTTGTGTCTTAATAAACAAATGCATTATCATTGTTTTTTTTTTGTAGTGTAACGGTTGTATCTATCATATAAAATAAAGACAGTATTTGTGTAGTCTATTTCATTAATTTTCTCTCCATCTACCTCGCTAGCTCCCTCTGTCGGTAAACAAGTGAACTATAAAGTTCGACTAAATGCCGACAGAGGCGCTGCAATCGCTATGGATATATCACTCTCTTGTGCCCTCTGCCGGTAAACGACTGAACTATAGAGTTCGGCTAGATGCCGACAGAGGCGCTGCAATCGCTATGGATACATCACTCCCTTGCGCCCTCTGCCGGTAGACGACTGAACTATAGAGTTCGGCAAGATGCCGACAGAGGCGCTGCAATCGCTATGGATACATCACTCCCTTGCGCCCTCTGCCGGTAAGCGACTGAACTATAGAGTTCAGCTATATGCCGACAGAGGCGCTGCAATCGCTATGGATACATCACTCCCTTGCGCCCTCTGCCGGTAAACGACTGAACTATAGAGTTCATCTATATGCCGACAGAGGCGCTGCGATCGCTATGGATACATCACTCATGGGCGCCCTCTATCGCTAAACGCCTGAACTATAAATTTCTGCTATTTGCCGCTAGGTGTCTCAATGTTTAATTCTGCCGTTGGCCGACAGAGTGATAGCGATCACGGCGCCTTTGTGACTATATTTTATATGATAGATACAACCGTTACACTACAAAAAAAACAATGATAATGCATTTGTTTATTAAGACACAAAAATTACATTTACTACAACAAACGATATTTATTTCAAATATATTCATAATACATAACATAAACAAAATATCTAAGAAATAAGAGACTTCTAACGATTTATAAAAGTTATGATAAAAATTCTGGAAGAGAAGGACAAGCAAATGAAATTTTAAAGAAAATACAATAAAAAGCGTCATAAAAACTGTCATATTATTATTTAAACGCAAGATCAGAGAGAAAAGGGCCCTCTAACCCTCTGTGGCCTCCACATCTCCCCTTATAGCCACCCTATCCACCCAAATTACTTGTAATTATTATAATTACTAACAAAGTTCAATTTGGTTTAAACAAATATGCTTAATAACATTAATTTAGAAAAGTCTTAACAAAAATCTACCTAAATACGATTACTATAATATGACAGTTTATGCAGTAAAAAGCAATATACCTGTAAGAGAAAGACAAGAATACGATTTAAATTTCAAAAAACAAAATACAATAAAAAGCAAAAAATACGATGTCTTCAGTCTTCTTAGATTACCTGAAAGCGAATAGTGCAATTACAAGGACTAACGACAAATACTAATAGCTTTGGTAGAAAAGATCGGACAGATTTCGCCAAGGCAAGCTGGGCAGTCGCCTATTGCTCCTATTCCAGATAACCCACTGTACCCCGTCTGAAAGGAAGTAACGCTAGAGTAGACTCGCGAAAAGTGTATAAGACACTTTTAAGATCAACTAAATAGCTAAGCCCAAGGGAAGTCGTTCGGGGAGGCCCTCCCTAANATTAACTCCATAATGTTGCAAGGTGAAAGCGAAAACAGCAAATTAAGAAAATCAACTACGGGGCCATCTTTGTCTTCTCCAACGTCAATCTGAAACAGATACAATGGTAACAGATTAATAAAGAGCAATTAAAATTAATTATATCAAGTATTCTCACCTTAGTTAACTGTAGACTGTAACATTCCAAAGTTTGCAGGTGTGAAAAGTAAACCAAATCCAAGAGGAATACCACTGCAGAAAATTCGTTATTTCGGTGGAATTCAAATAAACCTCCAGTTGCTCTTACTCGTCCGTTGAAAATTAACTCCATAATGTTGCAAGGTGAAAGCGAAAACAGCAAATTAAGAAAATCAACTACGGGGCCATCTTTGTCTTCTCCAACGTCAATCTGAAACAGATACAATGGTAACAGATTAATAAAGAGCAATTAAAATTAATTATATCAAGTATTCTCACCTTAGTTAACTGTAGACTGTAACATTCCAAAGGTTGCAGGTGTGAAAAGTAAACCAAATCCAAGAGGAATACCACTGCAGAAAATTCGTTATTTCGGTGGAATTCAAATAAACCTCCAGTTGCTCTTACTCGTCCGTTGAAAATTAACTCCATAATGTTGCAAGGTGAAAGCGAAAACAGCAAATTAAGAAAATCAACTACGGGGCCATCTTTGTCTTCTCCAACGTCAATCTGAAACAGATACAATGGTAACAGATTAATAAAGAGCAATTAAAATTAATTATATCAAGTATTCTCACCTTAGTTAACTGTAGACTGTAACATTCCAAAGTTTGCAGGTGTGAAAAGTAAACCAAATCCAAGAGGAATACCACTGCAGTAAATTCGTTATTTCAGTGGAATTCAAATAAACCTCCAGTTGCTCTTACTCGTCGGTTGAAAATTAACTGCATAATGTTGCAAGGTGAAAGCGAAAACAGCAAATTAAGAATATGCTTTACAAAAGACCACACCCATGTAGATTTGGTTGTTCCAGTACGACCAAATCGAACGTAAACTCTGTCTCATTTGTTGGACGATCTGTAGAAATTGACAAAAAACATATTAACTGCACTATTAATTAAGGATGAGACTAAACACACCTAAAAACAAGTACCAAAAACCAAGTAAAGCAGCTGAATAATAAAATGGCGACATGCGTCAATTATGCATGACAGATAAATGTGAAGTAATCATAGACGGATGTCAACTTAAACAATAGATATTTAAAAGAAATACTACATACGCCAAAATGTCAATTTATACCGTAGATAATAGATAACTGTTAAAAAAAATACAAATTAATAAAGAGCAATTAATATTAATTATGTCATGTATTCTCACCTTAATTAACTGTAGAAAGTAGCCTTCTAAAATCTACCAATATGATGAGCATACCAAATATAGGAGAGATGCCACAGCAGGAAATTTGTTGTTTCAGTGGTTTCCAAATTAATTTCCAATTGTCTCCCATTCTCAGGGCCAAAATTAACTGCATGATGTTGCAAGGTGAAGACGTCAAAAATATTAGTGGTTTCAGTAGCATCAAAATGAACTGTGATTCCTTCACCTTTGTTGAATAATCTATAGACAAAGGCAAGAAAAAGAAAGTAATTACCATTTTAAGGTAAGTAAATCAGTAATGTTCACACTAATGAAAAGATCAGTTCCACTTTAATTTTGCTGTTTTGCATCTATTGCTATTTCTGAAATATCGTTTATAAAATGTCAACTAAAGCAAGTTACAAATGTCTAAGAGATTGAAGTTTCTGGGACCTCATTTAATATTTTTAATCGATATCGTTACATACCAGTTTATTGTCATAAATCCTTTCTTCAGTAATAGCACACTGTCTCTGTTCCTAATGGAAAAATGGCATTTTCATGTTTGCCTTAGGGCCACACATATAGCTACTTTCTGGAGCGATTGAGGACACAACTTTGTTCCATAATTTAACGGCATCTGGAGGTCTTCTAAAATTAAATCTTTTTGAAATTCATTTGGCCTTCTTAGTAAATAACGTGCATAATACATTGTTAAAGTAATGGCAAACCCTATTCTCTGTTAGTATCAAATAAATATGCCACATACATAATGTAGCAGGTACGCTTACCTTAATTAATTAATACAAGAGCGTCCAAGATGAAAAGTTAACAGATAAAACACCATACGAGGGAGACAACATGTTTTTTCGGTAGCATCAAAATGGACTTCAATCTCCCCACTCGCTTATCTTCTATACGTAAAAATATAGAAATAACGAATTAACTATTGTATGAAGTAAATAAATAATGAAATAGAATAAAAACACATATAAAAAGCAAGTAAATTTGTTACCTTAAAATGGCGATGTGGCGTGGTTTCTATATTAAAACAAGGATGCACCATAGATAATAGATACACAAAGAGAGATGCACCATAGCAAAGAAGACCATAGATGCACATAATAAGCAAAATAGACACGTTACGCGGAAAATTTAAATATTTATTCCTTATCCTTTTCATTCGATTCTCAAATTATATGTGAAAATTTATTTTGAAAGATGAAAAAAAAAACAAAAACAGGTAATAAAAAACAAATAAAATGATAAAATTTTAAAATACCTTTAACAATTTTATCAATTTAATTTATGCTGTTGCTAATTGCGAAAAATTACAATTTTAAGTCAAGTGAAATAAAGTTGTATTTAAACAGATGATGCAGCAGAAAGAAAACAAAGTACTTTTATAAAATATAGAACTACAAAGTCAAGGGTTAATTGTCGTCTTTCATCTTGACATTAGTTGCAATAGAGGAGTCCCTGTTTTGCAGCAAGGTGATCAGTTAAACAGAAAGTAGAACATAATTTTGTGTACATTTACTGCATACTTCAAAACCATTGAATAGGACAGTTTCAAAAGAAAATTCTACTAAAAAAGTTCATATGGTCATCATATACTTAAGTCTATTATATACTTCCATTTTCATTATATTCTTCTATTTTCTAATATTAATTTCAACAAAATATAGGATTTGTAGGTGAATTAATATTCCAATAAAATTAATCAAACTACATTCTTGTGCCTTTTCTATATATATATATATTTGCCCAGAAAATAATTAGAAACTAAAAATTAACAATAAAAATAGGTAATTCTTTACATTAGTTGACATTGGAATTGAGACATGAAGTTTAGTCAGGTAGGTAGTACTGACCAAGTAGAATCGTGTGGTAGCATTAATTCCGTGCGGAAACCAATGTAGCTTGAGATACAGGCTCCTAAAGTTATTTAATCGGAGGAAATTTCGATTGGTACGGCCCTGGCTGCAGCCCTTCGTCAGCTGTTCTCGCCAAATATNATATCTTCCTAACATTATTCTAATGTATCAGCCCGCCTTCGGCGGGCAGGGGCATTAAACAAACTCGAGTCTGTCATACATCTACCTAACTAAACAATGACGTCATCAATGCATATTTGGCGAGAACAGCTGACGAAGGGCTGCAGCCAGGGCCGTACCAATCGAAATTTCCTCCGATTAAATAACTTTAGGAGCCTGTATCTCAAGCTACATTGGTTTCCGCACGGAATTAATGCTACCACACGATTCTACTTGGTCAGTACTATCTACCTGACTAAACTTCATGTCTCAATTCCAATGTCAACTAATGTAAAGAATTACCTAAAAATATACTAATACCTATTTAATTTTGTTATATAAAAACCAATACAGTCCATAAAGAAGTGAAGGTGGGCTTACAATATCACATCTCTTAACATATTCTTTAACTTCTGGGACAGTCATTTCAACTACTTCGATACTTTCATCACCTATGCCACCGCCTGCATGAACTTTCATTTCATCAGTGACTTCACAGTAAAACAATGTTTGAGTGCTTCCAGCTGTTCCAACATTACTTCGGTATGATGATATGCGCTCTACTGACTTAGCTTCATAACCACATTCTTCCAAAACCTCCTCTTTTGCAATATCCTCTAAACTAATAGCTTTATCAACGATTCCAGCACACAATTCTATAGCTAGACCCTTTTCAAGTGAATACTTTTGTATGTCAATTTTCCCATGCCGTTGATCTTTTGGTATTGAATTAAAATATACCGCTGGTCGAAATTGTTTAACCAGAACAACTACTTGTCTTGTAGTATTGTAAATAATTATGGCAACACTATCATGAACTTCTAATATATCCCATCTTCTATTAAGACCGTTATGTTTGAAGTGCATACTCATAGGTTTCATATAAATTGAATCTTCTAATGGTTTCAGAACAACTTCTGAAATATCACATAAATGATGTCCATCAAACATTTTTTAGAATTTAGTTTGTAAACGTAATAATAAAAACAATGAACAAATAAAAGATACGCAGTGCAGTTATAAAAGCTACTGCTTGTTATCTATTATGTTGTTATCTATAGTTATCTGTCATGGACAAGGTTATCTGCTATTATCATATGGTTATTCTAGCACCCATAGATAAGACGTAAGAGAATAGTTATCATAGATCATAATATTGATGACATAAACAAATTGATAGTCGTGAATCTAACACCCGATATAAATAATTCACTGAAATAAACTTTACCAATAAATTGTGCGTCGTTTGAGGGTTCTCAATATTTATGTAGCATAAGTGTGCGCCTATTAGTTTTGTTAAAAAAGGGAAAAATGTTATTTGCGAAATTTAATGTCGATTTATTTAAAAACTACTGATCTCATAATTTAATAAACGCTAATCGATTGCGCGTCATTTGTGCTTGAAGTTCAGCTACTATGGTAAGCAGAGTTTATTTTGAAATTATTACTAGTAATAATTATGTACTATGAACATATTATTATCTGTGATTCAGCAATAGGGCTCGCGTATTTGTAATATCAATGAAAAATTAAGTAGTATATATCATTATTACTAATAAATAATATAAAGATAAATTCTGCTTATCATAATAGCTCAGTATTCAAACACAAATGACGCGCAATCAATTGGCGTCAATTATATTATGATATTTTCAGTAGCTTTTAGATAAATCGACATTGAATTTCGACCTGCACCCGAAAAAATTTTCCTTTTTTTTAACAAAACTAATGTGCTCACAATTATGTTACTTACATATTGAGAACCCTCAAACGACGCACAATTTAGTGGTGAAGTTTGAATTAGCGGATTATTTATGTCGGGTGCCAGTTTCACATGATTCAGAAATAGATAGTATTGACCATAGATTACTATATGATATTAATAGTTCACTGTTAATAAATATAACCTAAAATTCAGTAAAAACGTTAAAATCTGGCATGTGGATATGATATGTGCAGACTGCAGAGGATTACTCCACAATTGCACAAGTATTGCGGCTTTGACGTTTTTACAAAATGAACGTATTAGAACTATACAGTGGAATTGGAGGATTACATTTGGCTTTGAAAAGTATTGTTACCTATTTATCATAATTAAAAGTCAGTTTCTTGTTTTTGTAGAGAGTGGAATAAAAGGTGATGTTGTTTGCTCCATCGAAATAAATCCATCTGCAAATAAAGTTTATGGGTATAATTTTCCAAATACTTTTCTTTTAAATTACAACTTAGAAAACCTTACTGCTGAGTTTGTTAATCAATTAAAAGTTGATACTATTCTTATGTCTCCACCATGTCAACCGTTTACAAGAAACGGTTTGAAGAAAGACGTTCAAGACCCTAGAACTAGCTCGTTTTTACGAATTTTAAGCCTACTTCCACATACGACAGTGAGGAAGATTTTGATTGAGAATGTAAAAGGTTTTGAAACTTCAGAAATGAGAGAAAAGTTAACAGAAACTTTGATGCAATGTAAATTTGTATTTCAAGAATTTATTTTGTCTCCGTCACAGTTTGGAATACCCAATACAAGGCACAGATACTATTGTTTGGCTAAAAGGATCCCAGATAGCTTTTCATTTCAGACAGGGCCTTTGGTAAATTGTGTTTTTACTAAATATTACTTTTTAAAAGCAATGAGTATTAGGTATCAATAATATATTATAAAAATGTATGTCTTTTTTATAATTTCATTTTTCTTGTAGATGACTAAATTACCTGGCATTGCTAACATGGACATTCAGTTTTCATTATCAAAAATTGTGGAAGAAAATGCAAGTGAATGTTATAAAATTTCTGACTATATCCTAAGAAAATATTTTAGTGTAATGGACATTTGTGGAATTGATTCAAAAAGATCTTGTTGTTTTACAAAAGGATACAGCCGCTATATACATGGGACCGGAAGTGTTTATTCAAATAAAACAGAGTTTGAAGTGACTTCAGTTCTGAATAATTTAAATAAATGCCAGATGCAGCAAGATAAAGACTTGAAACAAATAAAAGAGTTAAATTTACGGTTTTTTACTCCTAAAGAAGTTAGTAGGTTAATGTGTTTCCCAGAAAATTATAGTTTCCCATCAGAAATTTCAGATAAACAAAAATATATGATGTTAGGTAACAGTGTTAATGTGGCTGTGGTATCAGAACTAATGCAACTTTTATAAATTCATGAAAGGCATTTTAATGAAAAACTGTTTGAGAATAAATAATACATGAAAGGAACATTTGGCAAGGAGTAATACAAAAAAAAAAGGTTTTGCTATCAATCACATACATTACTTTATTTTCAGAGGAAAACAATGTGAAAATAAACAGGTATGCAATAGTTATTATTTAAAAATTGTCAAGGATGATTACCCCTTTTAGAATTTAAGATTTTCCTTAATTGCTAAATTTTAAAACCCTTTGAAGAACTTCATGACCATTTTTGTTTCAAAGATGCAGATAAAAAGTAAAAAAGTTCATAAATGTATGTTTGCATATGTAGTTAAAACGGTACTTTTCTTAATGCACATTTCTGTACCACTTTTTAATGCTTTTAGTACTAAATGAAAACCATTCTTTAGTTAAGACTTCAAAATTAAATGACTGATTGGTTTCTAAATACATCTCACACCAAACAATACTTAATCAATCAAAACAATGCTCTCTTTGATATGTAATTGATAATTATTAAATCTCAGTATTGGGTCGCCAAACAATAGATCCGAAAATTGCCGGGGGCTCGAACTGACAGCCCTTGGATGACTATGGTCACTAATCATGATCAAAGTTAAAAAGAATTTAAGAAAAGAGACAATCAAAATAAGCATAGGCTTATTGATTACATCAAAACAGAGGATAGAAATCTATTATTCTTTAAAAATAAGTCACCGCAGCCCAATTATTAACTAATACTCCCGTCCAAAGACTTGGACAATTGAAAAAGGCCAGATCACAGTGATGATACATTTTGAGCATTTTTGTGTTACTTTGTACACATTAAATTAATTACCAATTACATATCAAAGAGAGCATTACTTTCAAAAATTTGGTACCATTTGGTTTGAGTAATGGTTAGAAACCAATGAGTTACTTGACTTTAGAATGGCCCATTTATTCTATCTATCATCTGTTTGTTTACTTAATATTTTCTAACTAACATTTTAAAAATTATTTAGTTTCTTCCATTTTAATGTTTTTAACCATGCTGTTTTTGTATATATAAAAACTATCAATAAAATGTTAGTTTTTTAATTAAGGTAATAATCTAGTAATCCATCTTAGTAAATTAAAACATTACTTACTACTTAATTATATGGGAATTTTATACTATTCTACATTTTTGTACAAAATTGTGATGTACACGTAGGAGTATTAGAAAAAAATTAAGTCAATACATCTAAATATGCATGATATCTTGAAAATCCGAAATAATTCGCATATTTAAATGATTTGTAAATTAAAATACCAGTAAAGTGTATTTAACTAAAAAAATAATGTTTCTCTTTATACTACAATATATAATGTATAAATATTTCATTGAACAACTGCATGCAGATTAGCAATTTCAAGCATTAAAATAAATTATAAAGTTATGACTTACAGCACAGAATATGGTCCCAAAGTACTACTGTTATCATTTAAAAATATACCTTCAGTTTTCATTATGTAAAAATTGTCTTGTAGAAAAAGCATATGAGTAATTTTATTACAATTGATGAAATAGATGAAGTATTGTGAAACATTATTTGATAATTAACAGAATAAAAAGAAATAATAGCTTTCAATGTTTCAAAAAATTGTTATTTTTATGCTTGCTTCAATGTCCTGTCTTTTTGAAGATAGTACTATTTGTACTTTTCAGAACGACGTACGACGCCGAAACAAGTAGAGATTTAATAAAAATCTTTAGAAACATTAAAAAGCTAATATTTCTTAAAGTTCTTTTAATTACAGGAATTATTAATAATTAATTGAAAATAAATGTATACACCTACTTCTTTCATTTGTAAATTTTGCTAATATTTTTAATTCTTAAATATTCTTATTTATGAAGTATACCTAGCCCCTCTCAATACCTTTTAATTTAACATAATTAGATAATAAAATAACATAAGCCATAAAAAGCTAATGCTTACAATGTCTCTAATTCTGGTGGAATAGAAATTTTATTATTCATTGCAAACTTTTTCAGTGATTCATATTGTATTTGTATACTATTACACTCTTCTTTAAACCTTTTTATTTCATCGTGTATTTGTTCAATTTCTTTCCATTCAAGCGATTTTTCAGATTCTAATTCATCTTTTTGTTCAATTCTCTTGATTCTACACGAAGCAGCGTAACCTCTATTTTTTAAGGTACGCCTTCTCTGTTTCATACGAATTATTTCATCGCGAGATAAACCCCTTAGTTTTAGTTGACGATTTAGATCCCTCACTGCTATCGACACTAATTCTTCGTCCGAGATATCAACAATGGGACAAGGTGACAGAGGGGCCTAATTAACACGAAATTCATTTCAATTCTAAGTAAAAGCATATACGTCATAATATATGTATTGACATTGTTTTTAATTGCAATTACTAATTTGCCAATATATGAGTCTTAGATTACTGTCTTTATAAATACTTATGCAGAAAAAACTTAATGGTATAGAAACTACTTTACCGAATTTTTTCGTTCCCTACGAGGTTCCTGGGGCATCTTCATTTAAGTGTTTTTTAAATTATTTCAGAAAACTTTTTCAAATTAAGTACCTAGTAGTTTAACAATTTGAGAAATAATAAAATACCAAAAATAACAGAAAATACATGCCAATAACAACACAGTTGTCAAACTATCATAGATCAAAGCTGTCAAAACGAAAAATGGACCAAACTTTCATAGAATATGTTCTATTAGGACGCTCATTCATAAGGCTCATCACATGCTCACCACGCCGATAAAAAGTACATTCCACTAAGCGCTCACCGTGCGATCACAACGCTCACTAGACTGATAAAGTCGTTCCTCTAAACAATTGCGGTCGTTGTGGTGTGGTTAAAAACATCAATGCTCAACCAAATTAAGCTCATGGTGCCCACGCTTGAAGGTCTTAAAGGACATGATAACTGTTAAGTTAGCATCTCAAGGTTATGGTACAAAGAGACTACACAAACGAAGTGACTGTTGTCAGTGCATGTTCTCTTTTTTCCTGTATATCGAGCAAATCCGTTAAACAAGATCGCATTTTAAAGCAGATATTTGTCGTTAGACCGCAGACTAAGCCCCAAATAGACTTATTTTAAAACATAAACGCAACTTACTCAAAGCAATTTCTATCATTTTTTTGTGATTTTCTAACTACTAGCAAATTATAAAAGCAGTATAGATAATCTGAGCAAATTGCAATCTGAACTGATCCTGATCTGATTTGGGTCTAAAGGCGGTCGTCGGTTGGAATTGCATCAGTTCACCCCTTTTCGGATTTTTCAAATTGCAATCCATTTTTTCTTATTATCGATGCTATTATGCGTTAGCAATTTCTGACATACTTCGCTTTTAAGAAAACTGTGAGCATGCCCCTTTTCGCCTGTTTTGATGAAGTTATAAAGTAAATAATGCAATTTTAACGTCAGTCGTGGAAAAAGTAATGAACTCAAACGAAATATAGATAGACTCCCAAGTTTAAATTAATTAATATGTTGATTTGAGTTATTACATTATTTTAGAGTTTCGTAGAGTACAATACCTACTATATTTTAGGAACTACAACGTTTTATAGCTATCTGTCTGTGTGGCTGTATATCCGTGATAGGGCACCTTTCCATATTTTTAATAATGTGGTATAAATGGGACATAGACATAGACACATGGAGAATGACCGGGTGTTCCGTAACAATAAGTAAATGCAGACCAAACTGCGAAAGAGACAAAGCAAATATGCGGCCAATAGTTCTCTCTTTCTATGCCTATTACAAGTTTGTATTAGAAAAGAAACAGGTATTGACTGCATTGTCGCAGTCTTGCTATGGGTTTTCGCCTTGCTTATTTGGTCCTGGTCTTGGTCTTGCTGATATGGATTCCGTCTTAGTCTTGAGTAGTAAGTCTTGGTTCTGCTTACTTTTCGTCGAAATGAGGTTCCGCCAAAAAAAGGTGGGTCAAAAAGGGTTCCGTAGTAAAATCTGCGATGCGTCATTTCAGTCGATGGTGCCAGTAAAATGTTAATTTTTTTAACAAATTGCTTAAAAGTTAAAGTGCCTCTTACAGTCCGTAAAATACGGTAATATATTTGTTTGCTACAAGATTTGGAGAAAAGTAGCTGAGAATGTCAATATGAAATGGACAAGATAGGTTGGTAGGACATCTTCTCAGACATCAAGGACTATTTAAAGACGTATTAGAAGGTAAAAAGTGTAAAGAGGAGCATATTAGGTAGACCTAGATTAGGATATTGTTCGCAAAAAGTTAGAGATGTAGGTTTCTCTAGTCTTCGATTGAAAGATATGCTCAAGATAAGAATATGTGCGTGTCCAATTGATTGAAAAATTAAATTTAAAGGAATTGTTTGTAGATAGTTATGCAACACATTGTACACTTCAGCATAAGAAATTGCTGATACTAACTACGTAATACTACTTTGCCCTGTTATGGCAGTACTCCTAATTTCTTTTATAGTTTATAATCAGTTTTTTTGGAGTCTCTCATTTATGATAAAATCTAACACAGCACGTTACGTCTACTTTGCCTGTCTGTCTGTCTTTAACTTCTTTGATCATAATTAGACAGAAGTCGAGAAAAATTCAATTTTGATAAATTAAAATCCCATGGATTACATCAATTGATAGGATAGGAGTAATCAAGGACAACTTACGGAAATTATTATTTTTTATAAGTAAGTTATGCCATTGCTGCTTGCTTGAGTGTGCATTATCATCTTATATGATTTATCTTTAATTTTGTTTAAGAGTGTAATAATTCGTATAATAAATTTAAATAAATAAATAAATTTCTATATAGTACCTTAAAAACTTAAAGAACAATAAGGCGCCAGGTGTAGATGGGATACAGGGGGAAATTCTAAAACATGCAGGAGAAGTAGAGATTGTATGTTTAAGGTAGTTAGTCATATTTACGAGACGGGGAAAGTCTCAGAGGATTATAAACTGAACGTGGCAGTAACTATACCTAAAAGAGAGGCGCGAATAGGTGCGAGATATTTAGAACAATTAGCGTAACTTCCCATGCGTTAAAACTCTCAACTAGGTTTGCATAGAGGAGGATGGAAGAAAGGGCGGAAGAACTATTAGGGAAAGATCAATTTTGGTTTAGAAGAAATAAAGGAACGCGTGAGGCCATTCTAGCTTTACGAGGAATAGAGAAAATGATAGAAAAAGGAAAAGTGCGTACATAGGATTTGTAGACTTAGAAAAAGCTTTTGACAATGTTAAATGGGACAAGATGTTAAATATACTTAAAAATATAGGGACGAGTTACACAGATAGAAGAGTGATATTTAGTTTGTATAAAGAGCAACAGGCAGTTACAGAGCTGGGGCAGCAACGTAGAGAAGTAAATATTAGGAAGGGTGTCAGACAGGGATGCACACTGTCACCGCTACTTTTTAATCAATACATCGAAGACGCGATCAACATCATTAAAGACAATACAACCGTAGGTATAGATATGCAAGGGCAAAAGATGCTTAGATTTGTATAGCAGTATTAGCATCTAGCAAGGAGTTAGATATAGTTTTAAATAGAATGGAAGCAGTATTGACAAAACAGTACTGTATGAAAATAAATAAAAAAACTGGTATGCAAGGGAAAAAAAGTAGGGAAAGAGCGAATATAAAGATAGAAGACGAAAAATTAGAAGAAGTCGTTTATTTTAGGTACCTAGAAGTCAGATAAGTCAGGACGGAAGGAGTAATAGGGATATAAAGCAGAGGATAGCAAAGAGCCGAGTCGCCTTCAATCAAAAGAAGTCACTTCTCGCGAACGATTAATTTAGAAATTCGAAACAGATTGTTAAAGGTGTACGTTTGAAACGGGCGCTGTCCGGGTGCGAAACATGGATGATGGGTGAGATGGAAAAGAAAAGGTTAGAAGCGTTCAAAATGTGGTATTACAGGCAAATGATGAGGATACTATGGGTAGAGAAGGTTAGAAATGAGGAGGTATTAGAATGAATAGGAGAACAGAGGACTCTATGGAAGTTAATAAGAAATAGGCGAGATAGGTTGGCAGGACACCTTCTCGGGCAAGGTTTAGTCAGAGACATATTAGAGGCAGAAACGGACGTTAGGAGGGGTAGAAGTAGATCTAGATTAGATTACTGGATGTGAGTTGTTCTAGTTTTAGGGAAATCCGAAGATTAGCTCAGGATAAGAAAAAGTGGAGGTACGTGTCCAATCAGTCTTAGGACTGACGACCCTATGATGATGCTGAATCCAAAACCAACAAAAATAAATCGAAGCAACTTAATTTACGTATGTAAACCCTATAGTAATACTAAATCTAATTTCCGAAACTTTACAGTGATTTTGATTAATATAATTCGTTTATTAGTTTTTTTAACACAAGAATTTTGAGAAATAGAAATCAAAATTAATTTGAATAGTGGTCTAAGTGCAGTAATATTATGGGGTGTAATTTCATTTTCTACATAACCAGCAATCTTTGTTTTATTGATTCAGCTTTGTATTAAATAAAACTTCAAAGGTTGCACGCAATTTATTAGAACAAGGACATATGTAGCGTTTTCTATCAAATAGTATTAAACTGGTTTGAAAAACAAAAGAGGTACCTGCATCTATGCATCTAGTTGTGAAAGATGCCGCTGATATACGTTTTATTATTTTCTCTTGTAAGTGCAAAAACAGACATTTATTCTAAACTGGAAGGTCGACTAGAATTACAAGAAGGTATTGAAGATGCAACTGCTTGTGCAATATTCACCATTGAGCAATACTTATCCAATCGAATAAATGCTGTGGTGTCAGTGTGGACAACAAGAAATGCATCCAATGACGTTTCAAATTTCATCGAAGATTTTGTAGAGCTCATTTTTAAAAAAGATTGGTCTGCAGAAATTTTTAAAGTTCCTGTAGCAATAGAGAACGACGATGTTATAAATGTAAAAGCAAACGTTCATGCTGTAATTCTCGATGACATTTTGCCTCTTGCTGAAGTTGTGACAAACATTTTAGAAGACAAATTTTTCAATTTCGAAAGTCGATTGCTCCTTATATTAAAAACACCTTCAGAGTTTTCTGATATTATGGGAGCAGTTTGTAAAAATAATCGTTGTATAGTACCAATTTTTGTTGTGATGCTTCCTTCCAAAACAAATCCAAAAGAAACTGACATTTACTTTCCGAAATACCGGTATTCCAAGAATAAGACGTGCCACCAAACACCAAGTCTTCAATTGGTAAACAGATGTAAACATGGAAAAAGTATTTCGCATAGAAGAACAATAAAACAGATATATTCAACAAACACTTTCAATAAGTGTTATATGGAAGTTATCACATTCAAGTACCCTCCTTACGTTACCAGTGAAAAGGAAGGACTTTGCATCAACATAATATTGAAATTGGGAGATTATTTCATGATCGACTTCAGAATCGAACTGCTGGAAAACAATTATAGTAGTGATAACCGTTCTTTGATCATTATAAAAAACATTTATGACCATAATAAGTTTGCTATTGGCGATATGCCTTTCCACGACGATACAAGTCCTAATTATTCTTTATCTAAACCATATTTTTACGAGCATTTGGTATGGGTGGTTCCGAAAGCCACTCGCGTACAAAAATGGGAAATGTTGCATGCAATGTTCCCTCTACAGTTGTGGTTGTTGATCCTTTTTGTT